TCAAATCGTTTTTTTTTTTTTTTTCGCTTACTGCTGATAACTTCCAGCTCATTAGGGGACAAAAGTAGATTTAGAAGCGAGGGGAAGGAGAATGGGAATCAGAACAAGAATTAGAATAAAAATAAGAATAAGAATAAGCAGAAAAGAAAGGAGAAAAAGATAGAAACGAATAAACGGACGAAATGGAACGAAGGAAAAAGAAATAACGGCATTAGTCTGATCAACTGGCACCAATGAACTATTTTTACTATAACGTCTGCGAACAAACTGTTGCATAAATCTTGTCGGCTGTCCGCTGTTATATCCACCCAAAGTTGCCCTTATATCGCCCTCCTGTCTAGTCTCTAGCTGCTTAATTTTCGCTTAACTTCTACAGTTATCATTAGTAGCGGTTCGCTGACCCACAGGGCATGTCTAAAATCACATAAAGTGCATAACAATTACGTAAAACAATTTGAACTGCATATTTTAAATTGGAGAAAAAGATGTACGCTGGTTTAAGAGAAAAAAATTAGAAGCGAAGTCAAATTATGGCTGTTAGGAGACGGGAGACGGAAAAGGAGAGAATGAGGAGAAAAAAAATTTGTCTGACTGGACCTGTGAACCAAAAACGAATAAAAATGCCATCTGTGACTCAAATTGCTTCCTCCCCCACATCTTCCTCTTACCAATTTTTTTAGCAACAATTACTATACAGCAGCAGATTCTATGGTGTTTCAACTATGGATTGTAAAAAAGCAGCCAATGTTGGCCTTCACCCTCCAAATGGGACGCATTCTGTTCATCTCTCCAATTTTTTATCTTAAGTGGTTTTTTCTTCGTCCAAATTTTTTACCTACTTTTCGTTAATATAAAAAGATTTGCTCTGCCTTCTTTCCTACCCTTCTTGTACGATTTTTGATTTTCCTTCAATTTTTTTCTTTGTATCTACAATGAATTACATTTTTCCAACGAAAGTTGAAGAAATAAAAACGAAGAAAGGATGAAGCACATTTAAATACGCGGCAGCACGCATTAAAAAAACTATTAACAGCCCACTAGACTGCGGTAAGGCGCCAAAGAACTATGTGAAGGACTAACTATTAACTAGTGAAGCCTTTTTTCTCATTAATTTCGGTTCTTCTACTCTTCCTCAGTTTTCTCCATTCAGTTAGGCCAGTTGTGATAATAGACAATAAGTAATACAAAAGTTACGACAAGAAAAGAAGCACTTTTTTTTTGCATTTAATGCTAAATAACTAAAAATGAAAAAAAAAACGCAAACAGGAAAGTGACGGTCTTCCAATCTGCAACCACTGACTTCGTCGTCATCTGCAGACCCTCCGTGCAACAGAGCACTGACATCAACAGCTCCATCTTCATTATCATTACCAACAGTACCAGCAGCAGCAAAAGGGAAATAAGCTGGATATCACAGGTTTTGAAATTGAAACAGACCAAAAAAATCGGTTGTCGCCGTCGCCGCCGTCTATCATTTGGGATGCAGCTTATGCGCACTAAGTGCAAGCAGTACGAGAAGTAATCAAATAAACTGCCATTTTTCAAACAAATCCGCTTCCATTGTTCCTTCTTCACAATTCCCTTTGAATTATATGTAAAAAAAATCCCTTTCTCCTACTCAGCTAAACGTCCTGTTCCAAACTTTGATTTTGATAAGAATTATAAGCAAAAATTTATTGCACGTGCAACTTTTCAAAAAAATTCATTTTTATTTTTGTTCTTCTTTTTTTTTTTTTAGTAAAAAAAGTTCTTTTAGGCAGTCTACCAAATAGGAGCGACTGGAAAAGAAATACTGAAATCATGGAGCAACACTAGTGGTTAATATCAGTAGTCTTTCTTCATTTGGTTTCAGAACTACAACAAAAAAACGAGGGTGTAATTTACAGACGTGCATGTTTATTTTTTTTCGTATTATACTTATAAAATGTGCCAACATACAAATAGGACTAAATAATAATTATATATATATTCTTTTAAATAATAAGCATCTTACGACATCTACAGCATGAAAGCATAATTGACGCGAGTCGAGTCGAATTAAGCGGCAAAAGAACTAAAGTTAGATGAACAGACAAAAATAGTGCAAGAAAGAGCAAAATAAGGAATAAATATTAAAAATTTTATAAGATTATCTTTTTTTCAAATGAAAATTCCTTTCTCTAAAACTAGTTAGACAGAAGATATTCCTCTTTCTTTTTTATCATGAACGAAGGCAATGCGAATGATATTTGAAAAATATGTGAACGGTCTAATCAAACTTCACTGCACTTTTATTTTTTTTTCTAGTAAATATTGTTTTCTTACTTTCAGATATTTTCACCATATTCCACACAAAAATACCCACACAAAGAAACACATA